TTCTAATTTGATTGCTTTTTTAATGTTTCTCTGTTCACTTTTATTATATTTATATATACCATATATATATATATTTCTTGTTATAATTGGATTTTATCCAATGTTTGCTGACCGCATTATCCAAATTGATTACGGCCTGTATCCTTAAATGCGATTTACGATGCATCGTTAAGTTTCTTTTGTATTTCTCCTCGAGTCCGTGTTACGGTACGCTGCACCGACGTATGTAAATTTCCATGGCCGCGGTTTTCACTTTCATCTTTCTTTCCGAGACGTTAATGAACGTTTCATTCCGCGTATAATCCACACATACACATATGTAGAATTGTGTGCACTACAAATTTCACCGCAGTTCAATATTATAGCCAGCGCGATAACGATGCTAAAAGTTATAACGCAAACTTATTTTGCACCAGGTTGTGAAAGGTTCAATGATCACCGTCGCATATTGCGAAGATAAAACGTTCCGACGCGAAGCCTCAAATAAATTGCCGAAAAGATGCAAACGGCAAATTGCAAAATGTATAAGTGCCGGGTATGTAACGTCGGACAATGCCTTCCGCGATAGATTTCATCATGTGTTCTTTAATTCGCATACATGTAACAGCATTCTGAAACGGTAATGACAGATCTGGAAATAATAAATCATTTATAATCCACATTCACAATTAATACAGTAGAAAACTATTCTCTATTCATTTATGATAAATTAATTATTTCCTTATTCTTTTTCTGAGAGAATTATATTTTTATGATTCTGATATTCTTATTTTTCAAGAAGCACGAAAGAGAAATCTCTCTGTATAAGCGAAAAAAGTATTTTCGACGTTTTTAAAGTCTCTTTTCTGACAAGCAATCTTCTACGTATATTAAATAACACATTTATATAAAATAAGACAATATGAAATTTAATTACAAGATTTAATGGATTCAAAATTTAAATAATAGATAGAACAAAAAAATCTATTTATGATTGTTCCAAAGAATTGTTCCATGGAATGCCGTCTCTCGAATGAAACGCGGCGAGTAACAAATCGACTAAGATGGGCTTTAATCGTGCGACGGTTCGCCGACGGAATACGCTCTTTCTCAGGCTTCCGGTGCATTGTTGCGATACCGTTCCGACTGCCGCGAGCGCAATTTCGCAATCCTCGACCTCTTCCTTCCTCTTCGCGCGCGCGCGCGATGTGCTTTTCTGCACATTATCATACCGCCGGGCTCATTTTCCCTGTCGCGAAATTACTCTCTCCTTCTCTCTTCGTCTCGTGAGTGCCCTGTCGACCGGGGCACCATGTCCGGGATCCGCGTGCGACACGCGTCACTGACGTGACGTCGCCGTCCCCGGCGATGATGAGCGGCAGCATCCTGTGAGCGAACATGCTCTCGCTCAATGCGAACCGACGATGGCCAATGCCGGTTTAGCCATTATCGCGCAGATGAGAAGATTGCCCGGAGTTTTCATAATTAGCGCGATCGTACGATTCGTACACCGCTTATTGTTTCGCATAGAATGGAGCGAGTTATTCTC